GGGGAGCGGTGAGGGGCCAGGAGAGGTCTGCTGCGCCATGTGGGTTACCTCTGGGGCGGGGGTTGAACTCATGCTGACGTGGCTTTAGCTTCTTAAGTGCTGTACTTTAACCCACTGCACCACCAGGGAGCGGCCTTGAATTAGTTTTGAGTTCTTTGGTAGACACATGTAGTGGAATCACTGGCAGATCCATTTTAAACTTTTGAGAAGCGTCCATACTGCTTTCCAGAGACTGTACAGTCTTTATTCCTACAATGTAAGTGTTTTCTCTTTTCCATACCCTTATCAGCATTTATTACTTCTGATTTTTTGATATGGGCTATTTCTTTTTTTAGTAAGTTTTTTTTTTTTAAAGAAATACACATCCCATTTTATTTTGCATTATAATTTATTTTTTGTTTTTTACTCAGGAGGTTCTATTTGGCTCTTCATCAGTTTTTTGTTAGCATTTTTAATAATTTTGTTTTTGATAGTCATCATTTCCTTCCTGTTTTTTTTTTCTTCAAAAATACTAAAGTTCACCTTTACTCATCTTATATGGCATTTATATCTGAAATCCTCCTCATAGTTACTAGTTAGCTGTTAACATTTTGAAATTCCTTTATAGTTCATGTTTTATTGAATTCATTTTAAGGAGCATGGAAGAGTCTAGAGGCTCTGTGTTTCTGCCAGGAGCTAGGGGGATTATTTGCTCATTGTTGAGATCATATTTTGTTTGTTTTGTTTTTAAAATGCAATGGTTTATTTTTACATCATTTTGTGCATTTTTTCATCTCAGTTGTAATCCCCAAGGGTTTCCATTACCAATCACCTGTGTGTCATCACCATAGTCCAGTGAATATGGGCTATTCTTAAAGGTGTGAGGTGGTATCTCATCATAGTTCTGATAAGTGGGGATAAACAATTTCTCATGTGCCTGTTGGCTACTTGTATGTCTTCTAGTAGAGAAGTGTCTAGTTAGCTCTTTTGCCCTTTTTTAATTGGATGATTTTGATTTATATGAGCTCTTTGCAGATCTTTATCATTCCTTTGTCATATGTATGATATGCAAATATTTCCCTCCATTTAGTAGGGTGTATCTTCATTTTGGATATGGTTTTTCTCTGTGTAGAAAGCTTTCAGTTTGTTGTAGTCCCAAATGCTTCTATTCTCTTGTTTTCCTGCTGTTTGAAGTGAATCAGCAAAAATTTCACTGAAGCTTACATCCAAAGTGTTTTTTCTGTTTATTTTCTTCAGGTCTTACATCCATGTCTCTCATCTATTTTGAGTTGTCTTTTTGTCTATGGTGTGAGATAGTGGAAATCACTCCACATCTCAATGGAATCCACATTGCAACAAGCATTTATTCTAATCGGCTTGTGGGCTGGCTGTGCAATTCTGTTGCGGATTCCAAAGAGGTGGCTCTTTTTGCTTCTTGGATATCTGCTTTGCTTGGGGCAACAGCTACTTGGGTGAAACCTCAATATAACACAAGGAAAACCCAATTACCCTAGCACTTCTCAAGCTTTTGGGCATGTCGCATCCACCAGTATTGGTTTGGACAACACTGCTTGCTTTGGCAAGTCCCGTGGTTAAGCCTGGGTCAAGGGTCAAAGTATACTCTACTCAGACAGCCAGAGGAACATGGTGAAAGTGGATATAGGGAAAGTTAAGATGGAAAATATGTTGTGTAGAAGAGCTAGTGTGGGAGGCTTTGGATGATGGAACTACAGTGTATACTTCTCTATCCACCTGTCTTTCCACCCCCAAATATCCATTTTCACTTTTATTGTAATAGAACTTTTAGCTTGGCATGTGACTGTTGTTTGTGTGTGTGTGTGTGTGTGTTTTTCCAACAAGAGACTGTACTTCCCAATTAAATGAGGCTATTTGACTGAGTTTTAATTGAAAATGATGAAATATCTGCCCTTAATGGGATTAATATCTTTCCCACCTTCTCCCCACACCTCTTGCCTGGAATGTAGATGTGTGCTGAGCCCTCTTGGACCACATGAATGAGGGTGATAAGTGACCATTAAAAACAGCAAGCTCTGGCACTGAAAGTTGAAAGTCTGGCCAAAAGACAGTTCTCCATCCCTGGCCACAAGGACTAAATGGAGACCCTTTGGTTAATCCCATCTAATGGCCTGGCAGCATGAATTGTTGCTGGGGGTCTCTGCACTGATGCCAACTTCCTGGTTGTGGAGGTGACCCCTGTTCTGCAGTCAGGGCCAGTAAGTGCTTGGAGGAAAGCTGGAGACTGGAATGCACTCCTGGCTCTGGCAGGTAGGGCTGGATTGAGACAGTCCATTCATAGTTCCATTTACTGAAAAATCTGAAAACCAGGTGCTCTGCTTTTATGGAATTATGTTGACTTTCTAAAATACACTGTACAAGCGATTAGTGGGAGGTTTTCTCTCAACTTGCCCACTGCCTGTGACTTGTGCCTGCTATATGCTCACTTAACAAGGCTGCCTAGCAGCATAGGGAAAAGGGTGACTGACTGGAACAAGAGCTTTTCCACATCTGCTTTGCATTCATTAAATTTGATGCCATGTCAAGGGATTCTTCCCAGGAAACTTGAAACTGTTATACAGAGAACCAACTTTTATTTAATCATCTTGAGAGTTTTCTTTGTATTACCTAGAGGATTTGTGCATAGCATTTGGTGTGGAAGAAAGAATCAACTTTACCTTTGGGGTGTATTTAATGGGGAGGAATTCTGGTAAGAAGTAATGCTTTAGCTGAATTTTAAAGGAGACAGTTTCTAGGCAAAAAAAAAAAAAAAGAAAAATAAAATTCAGATAGAGTATGGGGTAAGAATGACCATGGAGGAAATTGGAGGTACTGGTTGTATGTCACCAGGTGAGGGTGGGGTTGGAAGTGGAAGGCTAGGGACGTGGTTAGAAACTTGGTCGCCAAAGGCTTGTGGCACCTCATATATGTTCTGTAGGCAAGTAGGATCCTTTGGAAGGCTGTTAAAATGGAGTTCAGGAGTAGGAAAGACTTGGATTGGGAGATGTAAAAATGAGGAAACTGATCAAATTTGCATTTTGGAAAGTGACAACACTGTAGATGATTGGCAAGTTTTGTTCTTTTTTATTTTTACATTATTCTGTGCATTTTCCCATCTCATTTGCAATCCCCTTGGGCTTCCCATCACCAAATCACCAATGTGCCATCACCATAGTCCAGTGCATTTCCCTCCCCCCACTGTTTTTGATCCCATTCCCCACTCCACCCCCATAAAATGTCTCTGGTATATAGCTGTTCATTATTATTTTCTCACCTGGTTTGTTATATTCCTGCTATGAGAGAAACCACCCAGTATTTTTCCTTTTCTTTCTGGCTTATTTCACTAAGCATTATCCCAGCTCCATCCATGTTGCTGCAAAAGGCATGTGTTTATTTTTGGTTGCTGAGTAATATTCCATTGTATATATGTACCACATCTTTTAAATCCAGTCACCCACTTTTGGGCATTTAGGCTGTTTCCTGGTCTTTCCAATTGTAAATCCTCCCCCCACCATTTCACCATTTTTAACCCCATCCCCCTCTCCCCCATGAAATGTCTCTGGTATATATATTATTGTTTTCTCCCCTGGCCCTTTAAACTCCTGCTATGGGTGAAACCATCAGGTATTTTTCCTTTTCTTTCTGACTTATTTCACTAAGCATGATCTTTTCCAGCTCCATTCATGTTACTGCAAAAGGCATGCTTTTGGTTTTTTTGTTTGTTTTTTGGTTGCTGAGTAATATTCCATGTGTTGTGTAATGTACCACATCTTTTTAATCCAGTCATCTACTTTTGGGCATTTGGGTTGTTTCCATGTCTTTCCAATTGTAAATAAATCAGGAGTAAACATGAGGGTGCAGATGTCTTTTTGAATCAGTGTTTTTGTGTCTTTTGGGTAGATGCCTAGGAGTGAGATTGCTGGGTCATATGGAAGCCCCATGTTTAGCAGTGTGAGAAACCTCCAAACATTTTTCCATAGTTGTAATAGTTTGCATTCCCACCAGCAGTGCAGGAGAGTTCCTTTTTCTCCACATCCTCGCCAACATTTGTTGTTGCTAGTCATTTTAAGATGTGTCATTCTCACTTTTTTTTTTTTGTCAAGTTTTCAATTGAGTCTTTGCTTCCTCATTTCTCAAGTACGGACAATTTACACAAAGATTGGAAGAGATAGTATTTGATAGAAAATGCTAGATATACTTAAATCATTTTTGTGATATCATTAGAATCATGATTTAAACTGTTCACTTGTTCAAGAGAAACTGTCATTGGGGTAGAGCACACATGCTTGATATTGTTGCCTGATTTATATAGCTTTCTAGTTTCTTAAACAATTTTTTTTTTTAATGGGAACAGCTATTATTTGTGATGTAGGTTAACTCCAGCTGCTACCAATTGGAAGGGCTGAGAAAGGGAAGTTAATGAACATCAATTATAGGAGGACAGCACCCCCCCCCCACCTTCCTGTGGTGCATTCATTTTTTTTCAAGTTCAAAAAGCTTTTTTCTGTACCTCTTCATAGATTGTAGCAAGTCAGGTACCCGAGTATGTTTATATATCTACTAAAATGCTCACAGAAGAATGGCAGTTGTAAGCAGGTGAATACAAACCTATAAGCAGGTATATAAATAGTTAACTATAAAGAGGTAAGGGGTATTTTGTAATGTGTGATATTCATCTGATTTTATTCTGTGTATTACTGAGAAGGATCTTGCTTCTTAAAGGAAATTAGAACACTTTCAAAGCTGGGATTTGAATGTTGCCTTATTCCTGAGATGTGACCTCCCTGGACTATAATAGGTGGCTGGGAGGATGACATGAGATCATCTGATTGAAGCACTTTCTAGAGCATCCGCCTTTTTTTGTCATAGGACCTCTGCAATTCAGGACAGTGGGTGCTACCAGCTTGACTAGGCCACATGGACAGGACAGCAGGGCATGAAGGCGCTGAGGAAACGGCATGAATGGTGAATATGGGCAAGACAACATAGTCCACACAACTGCAGGTGTGAAAGTCAACTCTGTCTTTATTCTTTTACCATTTTATTTGCGATAGATAGCAGCACTGCCTGGGGAGCTCCAGGGGAGAAGAGGACATTTGTTGATTGGAAATCTTAACCTTTGAACATTAGTGACATCTAGTGCCTACTTTGAGCACATTTCACGTTAGAGTTTTCAATGGCACGTCAAGGAACAAGAGAATGATGGGCTCGGGAAAGGCTCTTTACAAGAGGTTAGCACAGGGGCAAAACATTTTATATATGTGCCTTGGAATGACACTTATTTGAAATCTGACTGAAGAATGCAGCAAACATTCCAAGTAGTATATAGCTGTTCCTATCTGTCTAGTAGCTCTGCCTTTGGCTAATGTGACACCATATTTTCCTGACAGTTGAACCAATACCAAGTATATTCATGAATCAGCCACAAAATAGGGCTTCTAGGTTACCAAATGCCCACCCTTCCTAACAGATTGCCTCTCTACCACCCCGACTCCTACAGAAATGAAGTAAGATATCTGAGTTGACCACTTCGGACCCAGCCAGGTACACAGCAAGAGCGTTGGTTGGTGATAGTGCACAGCTCACTTGTCTGTCATGTAGATGCTCAGGCTTGATCTGCACTGACAAAGTCTACAATTGAAATCTAGACATTTCAAGTGATTTGATTCCTCTGAGGAAATGATACTTTAGAAAAAATATATATACACACATTTCATTATTTTTTTAAACCACAATTGAAAAAAACTGCTACTGGGTAAAATTAAATCTGAGAAGAAACCCTTTGAGTTTTTATTAGTACCATTTTCTTTGGCTCCATGTATTATATTGGTAAAATGACAACAAAAAAAAGGAAAAATGTTTTGAAAGGTAATCTTTTGTACAAAAATACAAAGTTGTAAAAGCTCTTTAAGTATATTTCATATTATTACTAAGAGCTAGCCTATATATCTGTATGTCTGCATAATTTTCCTACACTTGGGATTTTAGAAAGACTGTTTACACAGTATATGGATTTTCCTTACAGCTCAACAACCAACAATAGTCTGATTTGCGCTTTCCACACTCTGGAAGATGTGACTTGCATAGCTGCACCTTTACTGGCTGAGAGCATCCTATGCCAGTCAGTCCGTTTGCATCCCCAAAATCAACACATCACACTGAAGGTCGTTTTTAGTTTTCAAGTTCTTGAATGATGGTGGGTGGTAAAGAATATCTGTCAATTATTCTCAGTAATCTGTCTTCAGTGCTTACCCCCCCCAAGTCGATGAGAAGGTGATACAATCAGAAAGAAGTAGCCTTTGAAAACTGTCTGAAAATTTGTCCATGTTATCACAACAGTCCATTATAAGGCAGATGATAGCACTGAGAGAAAGATAAAAGGATGGGCATTAGTATTTCTTAAATAATGTATTATTCAAAAAAAGAGCATGTCTTTTTATAGAAAAGACTCTAAAATCATTCAATTTTTTTCAAAGAGATCCAGACAAATTCACATTTAGATTAAGTGGAAAGGTAAGTTCCATTTCAAAGGAAGCTAGTTCCAACTTAAATCCCAAATGGTCATCCAGGACAGTGACAAACCTCAGTCACCTGTGCCCCTCTATAACCTCGCTTTTAGATACAATGTTTGTTGAATGGGTAGATGGATTATTTGTACCTCAGTTACTACCAAAAAAACAAATTGGCAAAATAGGAGATTTTTGTTGCTGCCAACTTTGAAAATGAAAGCTCTGAGATAAAATTCACCTACTTAAGCTTTTTTTTCTTAGCATATTTTCAAAGTATTTCAATTACCATCTAATCTAATTTTAGAACATTTTCATATCTCCAAAAAGAAATTCCATGCCTGTTAGCATTCATTCCCTATTTCTGCCTCCCCCCAATGTAAACTTTTAAATACTTGTGGAATTGAGTGCTTGGTTACTTGCATTGTCTGTCTCTGGAATGCTATGAAAAAGACCTAATATTGGGGAACAATTAACTGACATTGTAACAACCTATGCCTATTAGTTTATAACATTTAATTAGTAGCCCTAATACATTAATAAATGTGTCTAGTGTATTTAAGGACTCCCAATACTGTGAAGAGGACACTCTAACCTCAGGGGAATAATAAATCATCTGCCCAATTAATAAGAGAAAGAACCAGGACTGGAACCAATTGCAGAGTCCATGTTCAGAGCCTTAGCTCCTCCACCTCTGGGCCATATACTCTGTAGCTCCCTCTTCAAAACCTGCTGCTTACCTGTCTCCCTTTCTTTTTCACAAATGAAGTTATTGATGTCTTCACATTGAAAATCGTTCCATTGCCCAGCATAGATCAGGCCAGCACAATCTTCTCCTGGCCCATGGCCATGGCCCCAGTTATCTGGCTGTCCAGCTTTCCAATTTCTTTTAACAAAACAGAAATTGAGTGTTATTTGTGAAGCCCAACAGACGTTTTCTTTACCCATGAGTAGCAGAGAGATGTAGAAAAACAAAAGTGTAGCTTGTCACTTGTCCTGGAATGAAAATGCATTGTTTAATAGTCTATGCATGTTCTTACTCAAAATAAGAAGCAGCTGTTTTACAGAGCAGTGTGTCATGCAGCCTCTCCCTGCAGGCTTGTTCTCCTTTGCACAATAAAATCAGTTCATTGAACTTTTTTTTGTTTTTACAATGAGGGAATAAATCCTTTCACAGTTAGATGAATGCTGACTGCTAGACGTATGTAGTTGTATAGTTGAATACATGGTACATACACACTCTTGTGAGAACCCAGAGATTTCTTTGTACATTTTGATATTTTGCCTCTAGTAAGTCAAATTGGGAACGTGAGTCCTTTGATATATATTTACAACAACCTATAAGGACAAATAACTTGGCAAAATTGCAAAGGATCAACTGCTTTATAAAGTAGTGGTAATTAATCTTTTTAAAAATGACTCATACATTTCATTGGCTTTTTGGGAGAGAAATTCTTAAAAACAAGTTTTCTGTAGGATGAGTTCACTTGGGCTTCTTATTAGTTGGAGACTGCTCAAAGCACCACTTTGCCAGGGTTTGCTGTTCTTGATTCAGTTTCCATGCAATAAATTAGATGTATTTCCAAGACTCAAAACTTGAAAGCTAACTTTTCTTGAAGAAGCAGGTCTTTGCACAAAATCTTGTGGTTACTGCCTAAGAGGATAAGCTTGCCTCCTTTGGAGGGTCCAAAAAAAAAAAATCTGCAGCAGGAGACACTTCTCCTAAATGACTCATTACCTCAGCAACGATAGGGTGTCCTGGGGTCACCCAAGGATAGAGACCATATTGCCCCTCCTTGGGTGACAATAGATACCAAAACCAGAGGACAGTGGGAGTTGATGTTCACAGTTAAAGATGGAATTAATTGACTTCTCCATATTATTTTGGGATTTTTTAAGTGACCTCAAATCTAGAGGTGAAAAGATAATTTAGATGAAACTGAGAAGAGTGAAAATGGGGGTGGTACTTAAGAGTCAGAAATACTTTATCTGATAGGTGATGCTTAGATACCTGCCTGAGTAGGATTTAATAAGCAAGGAATGAATTAAAACCCTCACACTGCCATAGTGATGCCAGAGAGAGACGAAGTTGGAATACAAAGTAATTTATCTCCAGGTATGCTTTTTTTCTGTATTTCTTTCCACCTTGCAGGAACCTTCATGGAAATGTTGATAACTGAGTAGTGTGACTGTGCTTATTCTGCTGGTCAGGTAGGGTTCAAGTCTAATTTTATTTATAGGATTTGAGAGCTGTGATTTCTGAGTGTACAGTAAGGGAACACTTGATAACTTCTGTTAATTAAGAATCTATAAATATGAATTCTCATAGGAGGTCTGACTATTTACCCCCTCTGCTGCTTTGTCATTTTAAGGAGTACAGATAAAAGGGATCTACAGACGAGACAAAAAGATTATCTCCTTATCACTGTTCTCTTTTCACTTTTTCCAGATGATTGGGATCTTCACATCCAGTGTTCAAGGTTTTCTTCTGGGATAGAATGCAGTTGTGTGGTCGGAGTAGAGTGACTGAGGTGAGGCCAGTGTGGAGGGGTGGTCAAGTGACCTCAGTCAGGCTGCAATTTTTCTTAAAGATTGAGCACCGAAGTCTCCAAGCAACTCTTTGGAAAAGCTGAAATCACAGGGAGTGATTTGTGGTAAATTCCTATTGTAGTAAAGCAGAACAGAATGCATCAGATAAGCAGAATATATATCTGTTGGAGAAGAATTTCAGCACCTTAACCTCATTCACCAGTACATTCTGGAAAGAATGGCTGAAGCTTGAGCCCAAAATCCCTGACTCCTGTATTAAAATAGGCAGCCACGGAAGGGGCTGGGTAGCAACATGTGGACTGGGATAGCTCAGTACTCCGGGGACCTAGTCCGAGGACTCACTGTTCCAGAGAGCTAGAAACACACAAGCTTACCAGCTCATGGGAGTGAACCTCCATGGGATTTGTGGTGTATCATAATGGAGACTGAAAACAAAGTCTCAATCTTGGGAATAGTCCCCTCCAACCTCACAACTTAGTACTTTCTCATGGACCGCAAGATTGGCTGAGGTTACATGGCCAAGAAACTTCTGCTGGTAAAAGCTGGGCCTCAAAACAGGAAAATCTTAGTAGTGACAGTTGTTTCTTTGCTATATAATTTTCTCCCTCTGCAAGGGTTTGTATAGTAGGTGATTACTCTCTAGTGACCTAGCCAGTGCAGCTCTAATAGAAACAAAAAGCATGGGAACAGAGGGTTGTAACTACACTCATTGTTGCTGAATTTCCCTTATGGCCCCCACAGCCTATGGGTGTATAGTCTGTCTAAAGATGTATTACGTGACTATATGTGGAGCAGTCCGTATGGACAGAATGGCAACCATTTTTATCTTTGCCTTGTAGGGATTAAAATTGTTACATAAAGGCCAGGTAGTACTCCTCTGCAACTGCTGACTAGTAGGAGAAGAATTATATAGTAGTCATAATAATGCCAGTAGTGCTAGTGACTTTTTTTGAGCTTATTCCATAGGCCAGGCACATACTAAATGTTCACATACATTATCACTTTAATTTTCGTAATACTGATGGAGCCAGCTCTTCTGTAGTATTCAGGCCTAGAGGAGGCCATGGCTATTCACCTGGCTGAGTGAACTGCAAGCTCACAGCTAAGGCCTGGAACCCAGACCTCCCTGCACTGGCTTTTTCTAGTTTGTGCAATGTTTATTATTACATGTCAAGTTAAATTAGACTGCAGTTATTGACATCTCATAATATGTCTACCTAATTTATTCTTTGATTCCGAGGAGTTTTACATGTACATATTCCTTTGGGTAGCAAATTGGACAAGCACAGTTTGCGTTGAGGTGGCTGGAGCCCATGGTCCTAGCAAGGAGTCCAGCGCTGTAGTCTTTCTTGGATCCCAGATTTCAGCGTTGGCATGCTCCTTCCAAATCACGTTCTTTCTGGCTTTTGGGGCATAAGAGCAAAGCTTCACCTTCAGAGTGGGTGTCGACACTAATATTCCCCTCAGTCCATTCAGCATGGCCTGATCCACTTTTTCCTTGAACGAAGGCTTGAGTTTCTTATTGTCTAACCCAGACCTCTTGTGTTTATGGCTAGAGAAAAGTCCAGGAAACTTCTTTAAGTTCCTTTCCGACTCCCTTCAGTCATGCCACTCTTGACTGTCAAAGTCACAGATTTGCCTTTTCCTTGAATAATCTGTCTTCCATCCCCTCCAGTGCTCTAGTTTTAGCTGTCAATGCTCTAAGGTGTTGGGTACTCTCTCTGGGCTGTCGGGCAATGTCTGAGTGCCAATATGGGGTATAGCTTCCTCTCCCATGGACAGGTGCAGTGGAAACAGGATGTCTGTCACCCACCAGACAGCCATTTGCCCTGGTGGCACTTTGAGCTTTAACTTCAGCACAGACCAAAGATACAGCTGGCGACTCCTCCACTCTGACCTAGCTCTCCTCTTGGCTGCTGTGTGCCAGTGACATCATTCCAGACCTGACTCCCCCACGTTCCCTCCTCTCTGATGTCACAGCCACGATGCTTTCACAACTGCCTCAGCCTGTTTTGTCTCCCACAAAGGAAAGGTTTTCAGAGGTAGGCTTTATAAGTTCTGTTCCACTTGGAAGGTTGTAGCAGTTAAAGGCGGAGGCAGGGAATTTCAAGTTGGCATAATTTAGTCACCTCCAGAGTCTTGCTTTGGATTAGGGAAGGTGATGAAATACCCCCCTCCACATGGGTAGGATGTAGCTTGAGGAAACATGAGAGTGTTCATCCATTATAAAACTCAAGTCACATCCAACTCCCATATACAGAAGAATCATAATCACGGTTTAGCCAGACACCCAACTGGGGTCAGGGACACCAACAGTGTCATCCTGAAGGGAGCTCCCTGGCCCCCTTCAGAAACCCGCCTGGGTGACTCCTGAGCATGTCTCAGTGGTCTAGGTCTACTTAACCCTTCTTAGGTGCAGTTAAAGAAAAGCTGATAGTGCCTGCAGCCTTCACTTGTGGTATATGTAGAACAACGTAACAAACTGTAAGGAACCAGGCGGGGGAGAAAAATGCATAGAGAGAATCTGACCACTCGTTTGGATGTTTGTGTACTCACTTATACTCTGGAAAGGTCCCGTCTAGCCACTTCCATTCATTTTCACGCTCTGAGTCTGTGAGGCCGATCCAGTGACTATCTCGCCCAACTATCTGCTTTTTTATCCATTGCTGAAAAATAAATCAGTTTTTTTTTTTGCAACAGCTGTCCAAGGAATTTGTTTTGCTAAATATTCAAGAAAAACCTACACTTTGAGAGGATGTTTGTCAGAACAAGAACCCTGCATCTGTACTGTGCTGAGGGTTCTGACATATTTTTACACTTAAAAACTTGCAAGTGATATTTCAGTCATACTCTGCTTCTAAGGTGGCCAGACCATCAACTGAATTCCACCCCTATTCATCCTGATGGTAACAGCCCTAGCCTTTTACTGAGCTCTTCCCCTGGCCCTGGTCTAATGTGTCCCATTCAGTGAGTCTGCCTTTATAACAGCCTAAGTCACCAAGATGATGACTGAACTGGGATTTGACCCAGGTCCATATAGTCTTAAGCTCTGGAAGCTGACTAGTGCTTATTCTCAGTCAGTCGCTGGGGGACACAATGGTTTCCAGCGTTGAGTTCCTTAGAATAGTGTGTCGTTAGGGAAACAGCATTGGTAGTGTTGCTAGATGGACCTCAGTTTCAAATATGCACTTAACTTGTCACCCCATGAATAAAGCACTTAAATCTTGCAGGGCCTCTGTATATTTATCTGTAAAAATACTTAGGCTCCAGGGTGGCTGTGAGGTTTAAACAAGAAAATGCTCATGCAGCACCTGGCTCGTAGGGGCCGAGTGAATTGTCACCATCTGCCCCCTTAGCCATCTCTGCTCTTCCATACCCTACTGAGGTCACACGTTCCTGGTCTCTTACAGAGCTTTATGGCTCTTGGCTTTTCTTCCTCAACAGCCACTGGAAGGACCCATGCTTCTCAAAGGCATGATAAGCAGTATCCTCCAGACTGAAGCAAGAGGACATAACTCCCATGCCAGGGTTGCTTCTATTCACTGACTAGAGCCTAAATCTCCATAATGCCGCCTGTGTTTGTGAAAATGAATTCTTTGAATCCTCAATTAACATGCAGTTTCTATGTAAACGATCCTTAGTTTTCCTCAACCAAATATGCCAAACATACCTGTTCTTCTCTTGTGTTTATGAAAACAAGATGTGAAGACTTGTCTTCACAGAAAAGTTTCGCATCCTCAAAAATTTCTTTCTCAACCGAAAAATAGTAGCATTGGTTTGTGAAGTTCTTCCAGTGGGGTGGGCAGCCTAGGAATGTGAAGGTTTAAAATACTGATTAAAAAACACACACAAAAGCAGTTCTATTTAAAAGGCCCCTTAGATGACCTCCATCAGTCAGAAACCAAGAGCAGCCCCATGTCTGATGTGCGTGGCCATGTTGGGACAAGGGTGGTACCGGACTACAGCACACATGGTACTTAAAGCTACATAATCTAGAAGATATCTATGCTGGGTCTCTGTGCCTCTGCCTGGTTTATCCTTTACAAGGACAGAACAAAAGGCAGGGCAGGCTCAGAGGTTCAACAGCAGTCTGGAATCATATGGCACCTATAAACAACTAGATGTGCGATACAGAACCCAAAGTGAGCTCAGAACAGAGAGGACCTGAGGTATCCTGAAGGAAGTCAACTGGAATTGTGTTTGGGTCAAAGGACAGAAAAATGGGCTGGGTTGTAAACACAAAGTTTTGCCAGAAGTTTAATCCTAAAGGACTAGAAGGCACCATGATACCTTCTCAAGAAGAAATGAGCTCTTGGTGTTAGGAACATTAGATGTTAAATGAGGGATGTGTATCCCCAGGTGAAGGGTATAAAATGAGGACAGGCTTGCTTGGGGGTGGCTAGCCTCAGATTTTCATGAAGAACTGTGAAGGGATGGATGTATTTGTCCCTGAGGGTCCAGCCTAGCTAAATAAGCACTAGGGAACCTGATGGTGTTTAGAAAAGAACAAGTGTGTCTGAGTGACGCCACCTGGTGTGGGGGGCTGTCAGCCTGCCCTGCAGGTGCCTTCACTGCTGAACTAAATGGGGTATGGGCAGTGCATGGAGCTACAGCCTGGGGCCAGTCTGGCCAACACACACGTCCTGCGTGAGGAGGATGATTCAGACTTACCATTGGCTACAGGTGCTGTGGTTGGCTCACTTTGCAGGGCCAGGGGCACAGCTCCCCCTGAAGGGCCTGGAGGTCCAGGGGGGCCCTTGGGACCTGGCATGCCTGGCACCCCAGGCAAGCCTGGCAGTCCCCGAGGTCCAGGCACACCTGGCTCCCCAACAGTGCCTTGAAGTCCCTGGAAGCCAGGAGGGCCCTGAGGGCCTGGGAGTCCATCTTTGCCTGGTGGACCTGCAGGGCCTGGATCCCCACTGGGGCCCTGAGGGCCAGGCTTCCCTGGGGATCCTCTGGAGCCTTTGGGTCCCTGCAGGCCTTTGGATCCTTTGCCACCGCGCTCTCCAGGGGGGCCAATGGGACCAATTGGGCCCCTCTCACCAGTGGGGCCAGGTGGACCAGCTTCCCCCTTCTCGCCTTTCTGCCCCTTATTGCCAGTGGGACCTGGGGGTCCTTGTTGTCCTCTGTCACCTTTTGGACCCCTGGGGCCAGGAGGACCTAAAACCATTAAAAAAAAAAAGGCATAAATAAGTATGGATACCATTGTGAACGATGAAGAAGTTGTTCCCTTAAAAAAATCTCCAGCCAGGAAAAGATCATGCTTAGTGAAATAAGCCAGAAAGAAAAAGAAAAATACCGGATGGTTTCGCTCATAGCAGGAGTATAAAGGACCAGGTGAGAAAATAGTAAGAATAATGAACAACTATATACCAGAGACATTTTATGGGGGTGGAGTGGGGAATGGGATAAAAAACAGTGGGGGGAGGGAAGTGCACTGGACTGTGGTGATGGCACATGGGTGAACTGGTGATGGGAAGCCCACGGGGATTACAAATGAGGTGAAAAAAAAATACAAAATGATGTAAAAATAAACTATTAAAAAAAATCTCCCCCCAAAAAAAATCTACAGAAAGATACATGTTAGAGGGTGCTTATTATCTTAGCACACTATCACTGGTGGCAGTTTTTTTTTTTTTTTTTAAAGAAGTTTTCTTTAATTAGCAACTTACCTCCTCCTGCTCCCAGAATTTAGGATGTATATTAACAGCAAATTTTTAGGATTTATGGATGTTTTAGGGGAGGGGACAGTGCCATACTGTTAATGTTGGTATTGAGATTCCCTCCTATTTATTTCCTCCTCTTCTCATTGCTTTGACAAATACTTACCACATGTTATGTGACAAGCACTGATGTCATGTGACAAAGAATTGAAATGAAACCAAAAAAAAAAAAAAAAAAGCTATTAGAGTTGAGAAACCTGGTCCATTCCCTCACCCAGGAACTCTTGGTCAGGCCTGTGCCCCCACTGGTACTTCAGGGACACAGCTGCCATGAGCTGACACTGCCCCCTGCTCTGACACACACCAGCTCGGGGTGAGGGGAGGTCTCGGTGCAAGCAGTGCTGGGCCAGGGCTGAGGTGTTCTGGTTCTTCCATTGGTTAATCTGATCGCAAAAATAGGGAAGGTGGGCTAGAGAAAAAAACAGGTGCGCCAGCTAGTTGGCAGGGGAGGGGAAAAAAACGACACAATTTTTCCACCAAAGGAAGAAAAAACAGTCCTCCCATAAAAAGGTAGGGGGCGGGGTGGGAAGGTAAATACTTGCTTATCCTTTCCACCCCATAAAGAAGCTCACTTAACATAGGATGGTTTTGTTTCCCTTAAATTCTTAGGGGTGACAGGGAACGTTACACAAATACATCATGACCAGGACTTGTACAATGAACGACAGTTTCACACGCATTGTGTCACCTGACCTTCGTCTATGATAGATTAGTCCTACAACACGTCTGAGAATACAGGGGACCAGAAGCCAAGCTTTTTGTTCAGGTTACAGTATTTTCCAGGTGGAAGCAAGAGGATGTAATTACCAGGCCATGGGTGTTTCTACCTCAGTGAGTAAGACATGGAAGATCACGAGCCAGCAGTGGTGCTGGGACAGGAATTGAAGTGGATGCATCTTAGAGGATACTCTTCTCAATATCTGACTCAAATATTATAATACTTTTCTGAAATATTTAATTCTCCAGACAGAATTTTAGTGTTTTCTGAGATGTTAACTATTCTATGGGAATAAGTAAAAGACACCCATACTTGATCTAAGGAAGCAGAAAATCTGTAAGGGGGAAGTGCTGGGGAGATGCAGGGTGGGCAGCCCTTCCACCCTGAGCTCTACCTTCCTCCCCCAACATCTGCTCTGCTGACAGAACCATAAAACATCCCTTCCACCCCTGTTGGGATCTTTCTCTGCCTCCCTCCCACCCTAGGCTCTGACAGGATTCTTCATATGATCCATAACCCCAAGTCCAACTGACCCGTCTCTTCTTCCTTCAGCAAAAGCCTAGGCCTGAGCCTCAGCAACCCATAATGTTGCCTACAGATTTATTCACAGGACCCTCTACTGAGCTGTAGAAGAGTTTATGTCTATATGCAAGATTAGCTTTAGTGCATTCCTTTTACAATATACGTTCCTTCGGTGGGAAACGTCAGGAGATTTGGGGATTGACTTCTGCCCGCCGGCTCAGCTCCTGTTGCTTCTCCTTGTCGTCAGCTGCCCTGGAGTCATGTCTTTACTTCCCCCTGCTAGTCAGGTCTCGGGATGCCCTGCTGGCACCTCTACCCTGGTGTGTCTGTAACTGACCTTACCATCTTTACTGGCTGCGGCCTTCAATGTCCCATAACCCCCCCCACACACACACACACACCATCCCAGCACTAGGGTTGTTACTGTCACAACCCTAGAGTGGGTGTCCTTTCTTCACTCTTACCCCTTTATTTTTTTGGTAGATTTTTATGTATTTACTACTCTTCCTACCGAGCTCCTCTCCATTTAGTCCACTCTATCGCTCTTACATATTTTTCCTCCTTCACATCTCTGATCTCTACTTGCTTCTGAATACTTAGCCCCTACTTGATCATCTGGCATCAAGATATGTTTATTCTTTCTTCCTCTGCACTTCTGCACATTTCATCTCTTAAAATTTCCTCTATTATCCATCTGGAAAATTCCTATTCCCCCACTATGTAATCCTCATAGGTTTCTCCAGATGGAAGATTTTCCTCCTTCTCTAAACTTTCAGTTCTTGTTTGGTCTGGGGGGGGGGTGGAGGGGGGGCTACTTCATCTAGTAGCTAGCAGTGTCTGGCACATAGTCCTTATTCACTAAATGCTTATCAAATCAATGTGCATTACACATCAAAAGGCTGTGTGCATTAATGTCAAAGCTTTGGGGCCCTGGAGAGACCAGAAGGGAAAAGTTTTTTGGGAAGAGTAACGTGCATGGTGTCCCTCATTTTATTTAGTAAAAACAGCTTCATCTTATCTATCAGGTTGATCTGTGGAATGATCAGGGCAGATAACTTTCCTGACTCTCACTTAAGGTAAATCAATCCAGTGGTGACATTACAAGTTAAGTTGTGTTTAACCTACAGAGGTTTATAGCCTAGGTCATTTATGAAAGACAGGAAAGCTGATTATGCAATGCCAGATTTCCTTTTTAAAAAGTAGCTTAATTCCTTTGTGCAGCTGAGAAATTGCATTAATAGCAGTGAAGGTGCTACAACCCCATGACTGGATGTAGCATTATGGAAAGTTCTGGAAAATTCTAACGAGACAACAGGCCAAAACAGAGAAAAAACTTTCTAATTTACTGGGAATTACAGCAAATATAAAAGTAACTTCTCAATTACTTTTGTTTATGTTCTATGTTTAGCTTTCAGAAATCCAAATAATGAGGAAGGCCTGTTGGAAAATTCAAGTGCTTTAGAAATTCTTTATCCTCTTTATGGATTTTCCAATAATCACTATTTCTCAAGCACTCACATCTGGGCTGAAATGAAATAGTATGGCCATGAAATAGGGACGATTCAGAGATTTGTTTCCCTGATTTCACAGACCATGTAGTGGGGAGCTTTATCTCTTGCAGACACCTTCCTCTGGTTTGAGAAAATTCCAAAGACACACAACTCTCTCTTCCTCTCCAGACATGAGTATAAGACCTCCATTCTTGGGGGTGACAGCTGCTCATTTTAGGTTTCCACCACTACCTGAAAGTAGAACATTCCTATTTGGTATAATTTGGTAGGCTATTTTTTGTGTCTAGAAATGCTCAATAGTTATTCCATACAAATTAATGAAAACAGTGTTCCCAGGCCAAAAGTAACCCACCTAATCAGAACATTCTACTTATGGACAGTGGAGGAAACTGAAAATTTAATTTCCTTCCGGGATTGTGTAGTTTGTGGTTTTCTTCACTACATTATTTCTCCAAACTGTAAGTTTTTCTGGAATACCCCCAGTCACTCTACGTTGATGATTTGACTTATTTGAAAAATGACATCAAATATGCATCCCACAGTTAGCACAAAAATACAAATAGATGCTAACTTTCAAATCTTATGAAGAAAGGCAAAAGACCTTAGGAAAAGATACAAATTTTTGCCTTTGATAAAGATCAAAATCCTACTATGATGGCTTTCCTAGCTGGATTAGCAAAAAACTCAGAGTATTTCACATATAGTACTACATCCATCACAAATAATAAAAGGTTGAAAATTCATACTCATGGTTGTGAATAAGCTTCTAGCCAACACCCTGTTACCCATGTTTTCATCCACAGCTGCTCCAGTCCTGGAGAAGTAATCCAGGCTAACACAGGAAGCAAGCGCTGTAACTTCATCTTGGGCCTCTATGTATCCCACCCTCATTCATATATTCTGCTCATTAAGATACAGACATGCATATTCTGTTTCTCTTCAGATTGTATAAATCACCTTTCACTAAATAAGTTGTTTCTTTTTAAAAAAATCACTGAGAAGAGTAAGATTATTCGTGTCAGGGTTTTCTCTTCCTCTAGGACCTGGGACACTACTATCACAGTACCATATCAGATGGATGAGCCAATGCTTTTAGTGCTTAGTTGAGTACTTTACTGGGGATTGTTGAATTGAAAATAAAGGATTGAGCCACCTTTAATAACTTAAAACTAAAACACTGAGTCAAATGGCATGGCAGTATTTATAAGCATGTTCAGTAACAACTTGTCTTTCATTGAGAAAATGGTAATGCGACACATGGAGGGCTATGTGATGTCTCATATACAACAGCTTGCAGACTTGCTTTCAATACCATATGGGTAGATCATTGACTGAGAGCTCTGAAACGCCAGAATACCAGTTGCTGGTAAAGCCAGCACAAACATCAAAGATGCCTGAATACAACTAGAACTCCGATCCATTTCCGTTTGTACTGCCAGCAAAATCCTCCCTGTGGTCCCCTGAATCTAGATATGGGAGCTTTGAACACCTCAATGATCTAAACTTACAGTTCAAAGAGGGCAAACACAGTCACTCTGCTGTTTCTGCTTTGACAACAAACCACTGGCCTTGGGAAGTGTCCAGCCCTGTGTCCTAACCTTGAGATAAATTTTCAGTGTGTTTGCCAATAAAGCTGCTGATGCTTAACATAAAGTAGAGAAAACACTTTACTTCTTACTTCCTTCC